CACCACCACCCCCATTCAGTGACAGCAGGGCAGGATTCCTCCTTAATGTCTATTCAGCAAATTCAGAAGAACACACTGGGAGAACTGCTGAAATTGTTGGGTCAAAATTAATCTCTTAAAATGACATTTGAAAAATTGGGGCTTGGATTCTGATAGGCAATCAACTGTTATATTTTTCAGTCCCCTCTTCTCACTGCTTTTCCCTCAGCTACTAATGAAACTGCTTTTATATCAAGCAAGTCCTTTGGAATTGGAAGCAAAACTGATCTGTGTGTATGTTATCTATGAGTTAATACTTTTTAATAACTTAATTGATACGAACTGACAGTGAATCCATAAAATGCATGCTTTTTGGTACTTTTTAAAGAACACCTCATTTTAATATTGTTATTTTGTCTTATTACAAGAGAAGGAAGTACTGCCTGGTTTCTGAAGCAATGTAAAGAAAATAGTCTTGAATATGTCAAAATGAGAAAAAGCCACATGGATCTTCGCAATCGTGTTTATAGCAATCGTTTCCATCTTACTGCTGGAGGTGTCAGAAGGAATATGAGTCTGTACAGTGTATACATGTTTGAGTTGCTCTTTCATTTGCTTCAGTTCTGTTGTCAGATTGGGAAGCCAGAAGACTGTAACTGCAATACACACTGGCATGTGTAAATGTGGTAGCTGGCAGGAGAAAGAAATAAATCTCTGTTTAAACATGTGTGATGAAGTCTGAGGATGGTTTTTAAAGAATATTTCAGAATGCCAACCTGGCAGATTTATGATAAGATTTATTTTAACGAATTGTTTCTGCTTTAAAGGTCAGCAAAAAGGCATGTAAGGTTGTGCTGTGATTAAGACTGGCAGGGACCCCTGCTCCAAGTAACTAGGGGCGTGGTGAGTTCTGACCATCACAACATCCCGCATCCCCAGGGCAGCTGCTATCCAGGTTGTTTCCTGACACAATTAAGAGTAGCCTCAGGCTTGCCATAGTTTGTGCTAGAGAGTATCGGCATCTCCTTCCTACATCTCTGAAGGTGGTTACAGCAGCGCCTCCCAGCCTCTCGTGCCAACAGGGTGCAGAGAACCCAGCTGATGTGGCCCTTGTGTTAGAGGCTTCTCAGGGGACTGTAGGCAAGTCAGACCCATCTATAAATATACAGGGATGTCTTCCTGTCTCATAAAGGCATTGTGAGGGTAAACATATTAAGCATTGCAAGTCTCTGTTACTTAAATAAGGAAGCCATATAAATAGCTTTGGCAGATAAGAAGTGATCTCATTCTTTCTTATTAACAGATAGAACCTACGTAAAACATAGATAATGTGCTTTTGTTTAGTGATATTAGTGAAGTTGTCTAGGTAACAATTTCAAGCAGCAGTGAGGACTGTCTGTAAATTTGGAAGCTGTCTCTTTTAATGATTCCCCATTATATACCAAGAACAGATTATTTTTTTTTTAAGTCCATATACCAAAATAACAACTGTGAAGAATTGTATGATCAAAATAGCATATATATCGAGGTTGGAAAGGAAAGAAGGTGCATTATAACTGCATGGAACAGATTTTACTTATGTCCAAAAACTTGCTTCTATTAATAAAACTTATTTTCTTGTTTTGCAGCTTGCAGGCCTGGATTCTATAAAGCATTTGCTGGAAATGTAAAGTGCTCCAAGTGCCCTCCACACAGTTTGACTTACGTAGAAGCAACTTCTGTCTGTCAGTGTGAGAAAGGTTACTTCAGGGCTGAGAAGGACCCACCAACTATGGCATGTACCCGTAAGTCTGATCAGTACCAGTATATGCAGTTCTCTTCTCCTGTGCCTCATTTATTTGTTTTTGTGTTTTAAAAAAAGGATATCAGTTTGTACATTTTGTGAAGAATCCCATTAAAGATAACAAAAAGATTTTTAAAATCAAAATTCAAACATCATATTTCTATTTAGATATCCCTAAGAATACTGACATGTTTCTTAGTTTGGTGACTTTTTAATTTGTAGTTCTGAGAGATAATACAAAGTGTGTAATCATTGTCATATAGATAACAATGTTGTGTTTTATCTACCAGTATGTATTCTAGGTACATGAAAATATGCTTGTACAAAAACTTTCAAAAAACTGAGGAGTCACGGAAAGAAAAAAACTAGTATAACATACTCTGCTGTCTCCCCAGCTTTAAATGAAAATTATAAGACAAATATCATCCCAACACAATTGAATAAAAGCTAAACTCTAAAAAAAGACAAGAAAATCTTAAAAGGAAGGAAAAAAGATGTATCCAATCAGAAGGAGATATAATTAAACTCTCTTGCATATCATCTTCTTTCAACAGAGAGTTATTCCCTCTTATACAACTGTGATAATGAAAATTCTTTAGAATTTTTGGCAATTTTTAAAATACAACATTTCGTGATTTTTTACTAACCTAAATTTGTCATTAAGACAAAACTGATGCCCAGCAATCTAGGGGCAGAAATTCTGACTGAGAAGAGATTTTTATTACTTTGATCAATGTGCTCATGTCTAGAAACGTAAAGCATAAATTTTCTTTTCACTTAATAAAATATTTCTCATAGATTTTCATATGTGGTTCATTACTCACTGGGATTCATTTATTGATCGTGAAGCAACTATATCTGTTTAATCTCAAAATCGGGAACAAACAGCAGCATTTAAAAATCTGCGGGTGAAATACTATATTTACATATAAACTCCTATTATTTAGTAAAGATGATTAAAATCTGTTTGTAAATTTTCTAAGATACCTAGTTTTCTGTGTAGCATTTTGTTAGTTCTTTTGGTGGAGGATTTGATTCAAGTACATTTTTTGCCACAGTCCTCTTGTTAAGAGAATTCTAAAAATATTAACGTGTTAAATGCATGAAGTATTTTAACAGACTAAGTATACGAAAAGCTTAAGAGATAAAACCATGAAAACAAAATAGTGCTGCAATAACCATCAGTGTATAGTCATAATTTTGGTTTGTTTACACTGCATAAGGCAGCGCCACGTAAAAATAACTGAGCTGACACTAGCAGAATTGAACTACTTCCTGTGCTCATGCTAGTCTCTCTAAATGGCACCGTACTGGGCAAATCAGGAATATACCAGGTGATTTGGAGCTGATTTACAAAGTCATAGGCACTCTATAATCCTGAGGTCATTACGTAGACCAAGACACTGTCCATCCACTAAATGGGAGTGATGGACACCAAAAATGGCATTCCTCAGATCCAAGGCACTTAGCAGAAAGTTGTCTAATCTAACCGTAGGGTTTTCAGATGGGAAGGGTCAATCCAGCCTCCAGCTACTGAAGGGACACAGGGTTCAGAGAGGCACCCCAATCCAACGCACACAATCTGCTGTCAGCTCACTCTGGAGCAAGGCACATAGGCCTACCTTTTTGCACAAAATATGTGAGAGAATAAACAATGTTGTTCCAGACTTCCCGCAGGAAAATGGTGATTACAAATAATTCCACTCAAATGAGTGCCCCAAGCACAGGCCATTAAAAACTTACGCACAGAACTAACACATCCCAGGTGCTCTTGACAGTTTCATACTTAGAAAGATGGTCTCACTCATGCATTATGCAGATGTGGTTCCACATTATTTATAAGTCATTGATTTTTCATCTCCAAAAGACAGTTCTTCTCTGAAAAAATTACTCATACATGGCATTATGTTTCCATAATAATCTTTCAGGGCACAATTTTAAGCCCCGCTACCCATTAGTATGGATAAGGTAGGGAGGAGCATGAGAGGCCTGTGGCATCAGGGAGCAGGTACCTACAACACCCCGGTGCTTTCCCAACAAAAGCGGCGTACTGAGAGCTGCTTTGGCCGAAAACTGTCAGGGAAGTCTTGCTGCCAGACCTCTCCGTTCCTGCT